ATATATATATCTCTTTCTGTTCTCGTCTATTAATAAATTTTTAATATTCTAAATACAAAAAAATATTGATTTTCTATATTTTATCAAATTCTAATTTGTCTACATTTTGTATTTTAATTTAACGTGAAATTATTAACGTATTGCGTGAACATCAACAATTTTGTGATTGGATAAAATTTTAAAAATTGTACAAATACAAACTAAACATTTAAATCTTGTTGTTTGTATCAAAATGTATTTTTAATTTCATTTAGAGTGAATATACAGTTCAATCTTTGCGATATACAGTATAATTCACTTTCTGACGAAACTTTAGCGATTAATAACATTTTTGAAGTTTAACCTACATGTATGTTGTGTATGTGTCTACTGTTGAACCTACAAAATTTGGCAAATCACAGATTCAACAAATTGTAATAAGAAATTAATTAATTATAATTATTAGACATTTTACTCATGCACATATCCACATCACAGTTTTGGAAGCGAATATTGAAACGGTAATTGTGCATAAAGATTAGAATGTTATTAGTTTAAATGTATGAAAGAAATAATGTATCATGTTAACCTCAAACACATATGTTTGACGTTTTGTTATATATAATTGTGTGTGTACTTAATTAATCTAATTTCTTAATCTTTGTTTTATTTCAATACATTAAGTTGTTATCATTGTTATAAGTGTATTACTTTCATATTTATATAATTAAGTATTATATAAGTATTAATTAATAACACAATTGAAGAATACAATTATTATTTTATTGAAGATACGTTTCTTTTTTTTAAATATATATTTTGAATCAAATTTTAGGTGTAATGGATTGAAACTAGTTAACTTCCAAACATATTTAAAACCGCATAGAATTAATTTATTTATTGCAAGAAATAAAGTGCAAATCACAATGTTCGAAGAAAAATTTTTAGAATTAGAAATATTACGTTCTAAAGTAGATGATTTATGTTGGTTGCATAAAGTTGCACCAGGATTTCCTGTAAATGGTTCAAAGGTAAAACTGATGATAATGTATACATGTATATGTATATATATATTCGAATTGATATCAATTTTATCTTATATACAATGTTATATTGCAGATTACAATAATTCATGAACCGGTTCATTTTTATGGTACATTAATAGAAAAATGTAAATCTGCTAAAAATAGAATAACTTTTGCATCCTTGTATATAGGAACTGGAAAGTTAGAATCTGAATTGGTAAATAACAAGATTTTTTAATACATTCGTTATATAATCTAATAAAACAAGTATAAAATGAATTATTGTTTATAGATAAAAACAATAGAGCAGGCTATTCTTTCAAGCAATGGAAATATTAAAGCCAAATTTTTATTAGATTATATGAGAGGTTCTAGAGGTACGCAAAATTCACGCAAAATGTTAGAACCATTGTTAAAAGGAAAATATGCTCATTGTTCTGAAGTATTTCTTTATCATACACCTAAACTTCGTGGAATTTTAAAGGCTATTATGCCGGATCGGTTTAACGAAGTTATAGGTCTACAACATATGAAATTATATATGATAGATAATACTTTAATAATTAGTGGGTATGTAGCATGTGTGTTTTTAAATCTTTCTTCTAGTAAGACAATAAACAAATGTTTTATTTTTATAGCGCAAATTTAAGTAACGATTACTTCACAAATCGGCAGGACCGATATTTCGTAATAGAGGATGCTAAAGAACTCTGTGATTTTTATGATGATTTAGTTCAAAGGGTGGGAGAGTTTAGTTTTGTTTTGCAATCGGATGGTACTACGAAGTTAAACTCTACATTAAATTCTCATCCATGCGAAGGACCAAAGCAAGAATTTCCTGAAGAAGCTGCACACAGAATAAAAACGCTTTTTCAAAGTGAAATTCAAAAACGTATTAAGCTTAACAAACAAAGTAATCAGTTTCTATATTTAGGAATTGTAGGTAGCTCTATATATACATATATATATTCAAGTTAATAGTTTATTTTATTCGTTAGAAGAAGCTTTGAGTGCGGATACTTGGGTTTTTCCGTTAGTGCAAATGGGACAACTTAATATACTTCACGATAGCGAAGTAACGTTAAAATTGTTACAGTCAGCTCCATTGGGAGCGAGACTTAAATTAGCAACTGGATATTTTAATTTGACTACAGATTATATCAGTGCTGTACTTAAACAGTGTCAGGCTACATGCGATCTTCTAACTGCACATCCTACAGCTAATGGATTTTTTAGTATATTGATTATATACATAAATTAATATAAACTTTTTCATTCAAATATAGATAGATCTTTTGTACGATAATAATCTCAATCTGCAGGTGCGAAAGGTATAGCAGGTGTTATTCCAGCAGCGTACACAAAAATAGAAGAATCGTTTTATAAAACATGCGAAAGATTAGGTCAACAAGAAAGAGTAACATTGTGGGAATTTATTAAACCAGGATGGACATATCACGCCAAAGGACTTTGGTATTTTTTACCAGGTCAACAAAGACCTTGTTTAACTCTTGTTGGATCACCTAATTTTGGTATGCCATAATAAAATGAGATCAAAATGCTAGATGTTATATAGCAATAAAAATAATTTTACAGCCTGTAATATATTAGGTTACAGATCAGTTAATAGAGATTTGGAAACACAAGTTGCAATTGTGACTAAAAATGAAAAATTGCAAGCGGCTTTGCAAGAAGAACAAGAACGTTTGTTTATGTATGCTAAACTAGTTACAAAAAGAACATTTTGTCAAGAAGATCGCATAACTCCTGCTTGGGTACGCACAACAGTTGTTTTATTTCGATACTTCTTTTAATGTGATATCAACATCTTTAATGTTTTTACTCATTGACCGATACCTCGATTTATTTAATTATAATTAACTTTGTATTATGTTAATATTTATATAGTTATAAATAGATTATACTATCAGCTGACAATATTGAAAAAGTCTTCTCTCTTTTAATTCAATAAAAATCATTAATTTTGTTAAAATATTCGCGTTAACACACGTATTATAAGATTGTAAATAAACAAATAATTCCGTAAACATGTAAAGTACATAGCGTATATTCCGTTACATATTTCATTTAAAATACAGACAAACCTATCTGATACAAATAAATTATATTATTACTTTAATATCATATTTTCTTTTATTCGTTTATTATTACATATTTTATGTAAAAAAAATTTGTCGATCTTTTTAAACAAGAATTACTTTACTTTTTTAAATAGGAATTAATTATCCAAGGATATAAGTTGAATAAATAATAATTAAAAAAGAAAACAAAAAATTTTTGTTCTGGTGTGTGTGTAAGAATTGGCAGAATAATTATTTTCTTTTTTACATGCTATTCTGTAAGGGATGTGGTAATATTTAATGTTACTATGATTTCGACGTTTTTTTATACGGATCATTGGAATTATAGAATTCATTCCAATAATAATGCAGAAAGAATATGATAGGAATTGTCCATAATCATATATGATAGTCATTTTGTAACTATAGAGTCACAGTCAATATATGACTCTATTATACTGTAACCGCGTTGACACTTTGCACGATTAGTTGATTCAACTGACTTTGCTTCAGAGATTTCCAAGATCAACAAGCAGAAGAAAAATTTGATGGTTTTATTTATTTATCATCAAGAATAAACGTTTCTTCTTTCACGAAAAATTCTACAACTTCTTCTTCTACATTCTTAGAGTCCGAGTCTAATTCATCGGTATCGATATCTAAAAAAAAATATAGATTAGTACATTAAATTTTATTGTACATTTAAGAATTATGAATTTATTTAATAATAACTTTTGATAAAGGTACTCACTATTACGTAATTCAAGACGGCGTTTCTTTTGATTGTTATATTCTTCTATTCTCTTTGTGCGATATTCTTCGAATGATTTCATTGATGCACAACGTTTCTCGATGAGTTCCTATAATAAGATATAGTTATTCAAATAATGTTGTACATGCATACGGATAATTGGCAATAATTAATAAATTTTAAAAGTTCACATACTTTGGAAGCACGTGTTAGTCGCATGCGATCTTTGCTTTCAAATTGAGCAGAATACTTTTTCAAATTCTTTTTAATTTCTTTTATCTGATCAGCGGTAAGAAGAGTCGGTGGTCTAGGACGCCACAATAATTGATTGAATGCGTTTAAGTTAACTCTTTTCAAAATACGACCTTGGAATGTCCATATCCAGTAACCATTATCGACAGTAGTTTTCCAACTGGAGACGGCTGTTACGACATACCTAAAAAGGAGGAATAATATATGAATTATAAAAGATAATAAAAGGTTAGAGGAAAAGAAATAAAAAACAAAATTTAATAAACCTTCCAGTTGGATCCCATTCGACGTCAGAAGTTTGATAATGATCGGTTGAATTCATAATAGTAAAATCATTAGTGTCAATAAATTCTAAAGCACCAGCCATTGTTGTTAGACCAGCTAATACGACAAATTGACCAGATGGTGACCAGAATAAGTGATTACACGCCTTTTTCTCTAATTTTTCTGTTAAATAAATTCAACGTTTAAGAGAATTAGTTTTTTAACAAATAAAACAGAACAAAGATTTTATTATGATCGACTTACTGAGAAGAGCAGGCTGATGGCCACATCTGACTTCATAGAAGCTAACATTAACGCTTGGAATTTCTCCATGAATGATAGCAAATTTATTGCCAATCGGTTCCCACGCGAAAGCATGGATTGGTTCCTTTATTTCTACGCTGTCAACAGGAATTTGTTTCTCTCTCATATGAAAGATTTCAAAATTATATGACATTCCCTAAAAAAAAAGGGATATTTAATTAGAAAATTATTTTAATTTAAATGAAATGTGTGGTTTGCACGTATGTAAATGTTTTAATCAATCTTACTGTGTATTTTTGTTCTGTTTTTTCTTTACGTTTAGCAAACCGATCGACTTTTACGCACAAGTAATCTCCAGATTTTTGCCAGTATATCTTACAATCAGCAACGTTGAATAAATTTTTGTTTCGTATCTCATTGCGACTATATAATGGTATACCAATTAATTTATATATCACATAAAATAATGTTTAAAAAAATAGACAAATAAAATAATAAATTATTTACTTTGGAATCTCCAATAGAGTAACTCTTGCAGGAACATCTTTATCTTCTGGCACCCAATAAGCAAGAACGTTATCTGTAGGAGACCAACTGAAGTCTCGAATACCAGGAATTTTAATACTTTTTTTATCCAGTAGTCTGAATGACTAAAAAGAAAAAGTATATATAAGTATATTTTTATTTGACAACTATTTATATACAAAGTAGGAAAACAACTTACTGGTGTTTCATAGACGCTTAAAACATCTATACCCATCCAAGCCAAATACTGGTCATCATGTGACCAACGGAATATAGGCCATACTGAAGAACCTTCTGGATAGAACGAACGTTTCTCTTGCCCAGACAGAATGTCCCAAACAGCTAAACGCTTTTGATCTGATCCTAGATCAGTTCGTGGCGTATACGTTACAAGATAACGTTCGCATGGTGAGAAATCTATACATTCGACACCTCTTTGACTGAATTTAACTTGTTGGACGAATTGAGGCCCACCCCATAATGCAACACCTAATTTGTGGAAGGTAGCCAAGTATGTACCCAAAGGTGACCATTTAACGTACGTCTCTGTCCAACGCTGTTGTTGTAAAAAGATATTTGTTAATTATTATATAGCAGGATTTGTGAAAAATTGGAGCATTATGTTAACTGGACCACGAGATTCGTATCCGAGTTCTTTAATTGCCGGATAACTGCTTTAACTTTTGAACTATTCCGGTTACCTTTCTCACAAATGTCTACTTTATTTGATACAAATAGTTAAACTTACTGGTCGATCTTCCAACAATGTAGGCTCAGGAGCAGAGTTTTGCCAAATTTGAACAGATACGGCCGGCCCATTTCCATATAGTACACAAAATTGATCGTAAGCATCTGGTTCTAATAAATAATAATGTAAATCGCTAGCTGCTTTAAATGGTTGAGGTTTTGGTGGTTCCCAGTCTGTGGGAATCTCTTCGAATTTCTTGAAGTCAGTAAACAAATTTACTTTCAAAGTATGTTGCTTATCGATCTTATGATTATTTGCAGATTTTGCTGCTGCCAATGCGTTGATCGGGCTATTATATTCCAAGAAAATGTACCTGTTTTATGGTGACAAAAAAGAAATGAAAAAAAAAAAAAAAAAAATTAATTAATATTCCCATGAGACATATTTTAATTAAATTCAGGGATAAATTGCAACTAACCCTTTAGTATATCCATTCTCATTTTTAGGATAATATTGATTAACTATCGTACCAAACTTTCCAAGTACTTTACTGATGAACGATTGTAATTTCTCCAATCTTTCTGGTTCCACTTGTGGTACACCGTCGATCACAACTACTGACTCAACCCCATCTGTCTCAGATGGTTTTTGTTTTAAAATGTCGCCAAGTAATTCTGAGAAAAAATGTAAACACTAAGAGATTAGAAAGAGAATACAATTATTAAAAAGAAGGCGATGATTTGATAAGAAAAAGTTTTATAAATTCATTTAATTTTGTTTCTTTATTTATATATATATATATATATCTATAAGTTAAAAGAGTTTGATTTTGTGAGGTTAGATCGCATGTGCCACATTTCGCAGTGTTACACGACCATGCCTTTCTTTAACGTAGGGTAACAATTGTTGAATATCATTCGGAGTAAAACATGCTTACCTTCGTCGGTAATATCATCAACAAATCCTTCTGGATCACTAAAATTTGGCTCTTCTTCGTCATTTAAAATATCGTCATTATTTTTAATACTATCTTCATTTTGAGCAATTTTATCAACCAACGTTTTCTTCGCCATCTTAGAAACCTCTAAGCGTGTCTACACCGGGTTTAAGTGGCAAAGAGCCTACGATTACTCCGCACGTACAGTGAATCATTTGAAAAAGAATACGGTGCTGCCAACTATTAAGCTTGCTTTTTCATTTGTGCCTTCATTTTACCTAAGGGTCAAGTTAACGTTCATTGGTCATCTTTTCTTGGCCAATAGAACGTTCCCCAATCAATGATTTTGCAAATCGATATGCTCCTATTAAAATTATTCAATTTTTTATTCAATAATGTACAAAACAATATTAATTATTTATTTAAATCAAATATTCGTGTTAATATAACAATTAAAATGATTATAAATTGAATAATTGATAACATCCACTAATTATAAAATTCTACAAAATTTAATTTGATTTTACTTGATTTTATCGATAATAATTGGACAAATGTAGGTTATGTGCAAGTTATATTACAGCAGCAATTGTTACGCGCTCATTTCAGAATGTTTTATATAGAATATGGTTAAATTCGTTTAATTATATTTCCTTTTGTATTCTTTTACTATCTATGTAATTTTACTTTTTTCTTACACGTGTATATATTTTTGATTAATTTCTAAAGTTAACATTTATATAAACATTATAATCATGTCTATGGGTTAGTAATATATCTGCATTATCGTTAATATTCATTTTGCAATAATATTTAAGAAATGTTTGATTATATTTTCTGTAAAAATCTTTAGTTTCACGTCGAAGTAAAATGCCTTCCAGTATTCCAGGATTATCTGGCCTTGGAGCAATAAAACATAGTATATTTTTTCGAACACTTAAAGGTGGTCTAAAGGTACAATCTATTTGTTGTAATTTCTGTATCTTTCTAATGAATTTTAGTATTAAAAAATTGTTTAGATCCCAAGATATCAGAATACGTACCGGTTGAAATCTTTCACTCCTTTCAAAGTAGAAGTTGTTGATAAAATATTGAAGGACGTAATGATTTCTTCCTTGAACGATATTAAATATCATCCAATCGTGTGTCTACAGATTTGCAAAGATATGTCAGCGAAAGTGCGCGATTTAATATATAAAAAATCCTACGATCGGTATTAATCATCAAATTATATTTTCAGAAGTATTATCAAAATAATTAATAACTTTAGATTATTTTTATCAATTTCTGAATACGATTTGTCTATATTTTAGTTATAAATATACGGTGATCATGACGATAGTACAAAAACTCGGACAAAGTGTAGATACCAATATGGCGTGTTTATGGGACCCTGAAAGGGACAATTATTGCACGTATGCTTTAGAAACTACCGAATTTATTGCTCTCGGTTTGGTCATTGCTACTTATTATGAATAAACCGAGTTAACAAGTGATTGTTTTATCTTTTGATAGTGATCTATGAAAATGATCATTCGAATTATTTCGTTTTGCGAATTAACGGCATTGAAAAATTATTTAAAAATTTTGAAAATAATCTACAATATTTTCAAGCAAAAGAAAATTACTTTCTTATCTTTTTTTTTCTTATTAAGTTTTTTTACATAATGATGTTCGATATACAAGGTTCTAGATTATCGTTGTACTTCCTTTATTCCTATAAAAAATATCCAGTTTATCAACTGATAATGATACCACGTTGAGACGAGATTTTATGTTTTTAGTATATTTTGCTAGTGTGCTTTTAATTAATATATGTATATGAAATACAATATATATATATATATATAGACGTTATTTTATTTTTATTTTTATTTTTTATTTTTCATTTTCTTTTCTTTTCCTTTTCTTTTCAAGTTGAAGCGACGTTTTAGAAAAAAGAGCATTTCTATTCTACGCTACCCACCTGCACAGATAAAGAGAATCTATTTTATCTTTATATTTAACATATATATATACTATTTTTTCTTATATTTTTTATACTTTTGTATCACACACGGAATTATACATGCAATTTTCGTTTTTTTTTTCTTTTAATCCTTTTATGGTACGACCAAAAAAATAAGGATGATTTTGTAAAACAACTTTTTTCTTTCTTTTTTTTTATCCATGGGTTAAAAAAATATAAATAAAAAATCCAAGTGCAGAATTGAACGAATTGAAAAATGACGGATCAGCACGTTGGCGCCATTCCATCCGAGTTGTGAATTTTATGTTTTCTTTATTGTTATTAAAGTAATATATAGTTTGGAATATATATATGTATATATATATATATCCCGATATATATAGGTATATATGAGTATGTTCATGTATATATTATATATATACATATACACATATATGTAATAACTATATATGTATATATATATGCATATAAATATATAATAACGACAAGATTACAAAATGTATTACTATGATTAGTAATAATAATTTGTAAAAAAAATAATAGTTAATTTGATAATAATGATAATAATAAATAAATGAATAATGATGAAAATAATAACGATGCAAATAACAATGTGATTGATTATCAATGATGATGATGATAATAATAATAATAATAATAATAATCGTTCATGATACAGTCGCATAATCTTAGTTTTGTAGTCCATCATTATCAATTGTTTACATCGTTCATTATAGATACAGGGATACAGAAAAATAATACCGCGCGGCTGTGGTGGAATGTTCCTAAATTCTATATATATATATTTATATATGTATATATATATTATAAAAGAGGATCGAGAGGACTATAGTTAAATACTTTTCAATAAATTTTACACCGATTGGCCTCAATTCGCTCTTATTCCGTTTGAAAAATACGCGCCAACTTTATTTTGTCACGACGTACGCGCGGTATCGACTTGAAAAAAAGAAAAAACAAAAAACCAAACGAATTTTAATTGATCTATAGACCACGATATTTCTTTTTTTTTTTTTTTTTAGCAGAATGTTGGCCACGTACGTCGATGGTATTGCGCATGTTGCACGTAAATACTTACTTAGGCTTCACTTTATTTTTCTTTTTTTTTTCTTAGGGCAAGAGGAGAGTTGCGTATTTTTTTTAAATAACATTACAGTTAATTGTACCTTTACTTACGATCCTATACCTGCCGAGAGCTCATATATTTCGATCGTTAAATAATACGCGACAATGATACTTCCATCAATATTGAAATCAATTAGACAACGCGCCACAAGCCTCGCTACAAGTTTTTTTGTTCGTTTATCCTTGGTCCATTTTCGACGCATACGTTTTATTTACATAGGGCTGTTTTTTATATTTATTTATTTATTTCTTTCCTTTTTTTTTTTTTTTTTTTTTTTTTTTTT